CAAACAGACATCGGGCGCGTTTTCTTTCAGAATCATCATTCGCCGATAGAGAGGAAAAGTGAAATACTATAGTATTTTATTTTATGAAAATGAGATGAAGTTTTCTCACTGAAAGAGAAGTGATCTCGTGCTCATAGACGTGTCAGGCTATATCTGCAGCTAAACTGTATAAAAAGCAGAATGAACTGAAACTTTAAGACAATAAAAACAACCAATAAATACAATTTATGAATGATGCAGTGCTAATTGACAATTTATTACAGTAGCCTACAGAAATTATAAAGTATTTTTTTTTTTTACCTTATTCTGTGCAGAAAATTGAAATAATTTTTTGTAGTATATAAAACAATCATAAAATTGCCATTAGGAAGAAATAATAGATTACAAATGATTGATTATTGTCCAGCAGTGTATTTGATTTCTTATAGCAAATTCAAAGTAAGAGATAAGAAAAGAATTCCTTGTAAAAAAATTAAAATAAAATAATAATACATACTAGAGCCCGACCGATATATGAGCCTGTCGCCGATATATCGGTATCGGCGAATATGCCACCGATATGAACAATTTTTTTTTACATAACATATAACGCAGATTAAATGCTTCTGAATGGTGTAATTACTTAGTTTGTCCAGCAGAGCGCGCTCCATTGTTTGCTACTGGCGACCCAGGTCACTGTAGTGTAGAGATCAAACTTCACCCAAGTCCGCGGTTTCAAATTATCTGCCTGCCACCCACCCGCACCTATATTTGATCGTCACATAACAATGATTCTAATTCTTAGTTTTGCATGATATGATGAACGGATGGCTCATTTTTAACAGCAGATTCAGTGACGTTAGAGACTAGAGCAGATCTGCGCATCACGGCACGCGTCTGCGGCGCATTAAAGCCTGTGTTACGGCCACCGGAGCTGATCGCGGCTGGACTGGTGTTTATACCGGACGAGCCGCGGCCCAGAACTCATGCTTATCACGTCGGTCACATCACATCACGCGGCGCGCATCCGGTGTATGTTGTCTACACTGGATGCAGTAAACGGATGCCTCATTCTATTTATGACGTGCTGAGTGCGGACACAAAGTTCAAATGATTTTCAATGGTCCTGTTGCGGCGCAGACACGGTGTCAGCATAGTTTGTCAGTACAGTCAGTAACGTAGCAGATTGAAAAGTTAGTATCTTTCTGCAGTCCAATAGACGGCAGTGCGGTGGTGGCTTGTGTCTGTTGAATGGTTCTGTTGTTCTGTTGTCGGTGTTTCTTTGTCTGAATATGGCGCTTATCACATGCTGTGTGGTATCGGCGTTTGGTATCGGGGCATTTTAACGAGTACGAGTACAGGAGCTCAGTATCGGGCCCGATACCAGTATCGGTGCTTCCCTAATATATATATATATATATAGACCGTGTCTGGGAATATTAAACTGCAAAAAGACGATTTAAATACGAATGCCCTGCATGTTCATTGGATTACCAGGAAATACACAACACAGAGTTTGCGAAAAATTTTTTTATAATTATTATTTATTCATTTTAGATGTTTACATTTGGAAAAGCTGTGCTTCCTGCATAAACCTTCCCGTTGGTTTGGCAGTAGCTTGCTTGCCCTACTCAGTTACCTTGTTTAGTTTCTTAATTCAAGTTATATATATATTGTTCTATTTATTTTATTTGTAATAAGTGAAGTGACATTTACTGTTAAGTGCACTCATGTCAGACTCATTTTGAATAATAAAGTTTATTGTTAAATTGTTAAATACCCGGCCTCCACTACATAGGCCTATGTTTGTCACATCATTATAAGTGTTTGATCACCACATTTGAGTTATCATTGCAAAAAAATGTGTTTATGTATATATATTCGGTTTATGTATATACTGTATTCTATATATAGTACCAGTAATGCACTTAAAGAATGCAGAATCGAATCGTTAATCGAATCGTTGAGAAATTGCAAAAATCATTCTTGAATCGAAAACCTATGAATCATGAATCGATTCGCTGTCTACCCAAAGATTCACAGCCCTAATTGTGATGTATCATTATAGGACTGTCTTGCAATATATCGATTATTGCAGAATTGCTGTATATTATCAGTATTGTATCATATCTTGCTGTCATTCCCACCCTTATGCCGAGTTTACACTGCACGATTTTAGCCCGATTTTTCACTCGCCGACCAAATGCCCGAAATCGGAGGCAAATCGGTGCTCGTTCACGCGAGTGACAATCACGCAGTGTGAATTATCAAAGACGCACGGCGGGTTCTCGCGTTATTTCCTTATCACTTCTCGCGTGTGTTTTGTTGTGAAACGTAGTTTGCGGACCAGACAGAGCTGTCGGAGATTCTTCCTATTGTGAAGTCATGCAGTGTGAAACCCCCTGTCGCCGATCTATCGTGCAATGTGAACACAGCAGCGACTGAATGCTACCCCAGATAGTCACGCAGTGTGAAAACAACGGCGATCCGACGAGTCTGAAAATCGTGCAGTGTGAACTCGGCATTAGTTAACAGACATGGTCATTCAAACGATCAGATATAATGGAAACCAGCTGTTATCTGAACAAGTCTGGAGAGCAAAACCACCTCAAAATCTGGTCTGGTTAGATGGTTTCCTGAGTCAGAGTCAGTCAGACAGCTCACCATATGGATGAATGAGGTTGCTGAGCTGCCATATTTGACAGTGCAGCACTGGCATCACGTGACAGCTTGTTTAAACACGCAAACACCGCACTGTCATCCCACTGAACGCCTGTATTAGTCATTTAATTACTAATTAGTCATTTATCAGATGCTTTCTAATAGCGTGGCTCATTGTGGACTTATTACAGTCCTGCTGGAGTAACCTGAGGTTTACAGTCTTGATCAATAACCGTTAAATGAGACTCGAACCTGCTACCTTCAATGACCAGACCACAGTAATAATCAATAAACCAATGGGATCAAGACCACTCCCTAACAGACAGCCATTGTTTTAGATTATCGACGAAAATTACATTCAGAGCTCTGTTTAAACTGTTATAAATCATTTTAAATTGAAAGAGTGAATCGTATCGAGCACGTGGAGCCCTGAGCGCGAGCGATGACGCAGGAATTTAACGTTACCTCAGAGAGTTTCCCCCTTTATTTCACCCCAAAACCGACGCGTTATTTCACTCGATCTTTCTAAATCATCTGCTCAGTTATAATACACTTCGTTTAGAATGACGTTAGTTTGAGATTTGCGGAAAGCGTGGGTATTTTTCTGGAAACTGATAAGGCCTCGAGCGTTGGGCGACGCACGTCTGTCAAAATACCTATCTGCATCTGTTTAATCATTATAAAATACCAATAAAACACTGCTCACCTCTCGCTGATGCGAACAGCGCAGTATAACGCGTTAATAAGCGTAGAAAGTCTTCTTTCTGTGCGAACAGACGAACAGCGCGTGTCGCTCCGGAGCGCACCGGTAGCAAAGATGGCGCCAGAGCGAGTGACGCAAAAGGGACGCGACGCGACCGCTGACGTGCTCAGAGCGCGCCGATGCGAACAGAATTCGAGTGTTTACGATTATATTTGATCCTTTTTTAAGAAAATGTCGCTAAATTAACGTTAGTTGTGAAAACGGAAGAAGGAAGACTCTGTTGTGCGATTGTTTTTCAGGGACGGTGAGTAACTGGTTTTGTTTTGCTGTGAAGATTAAAGGTAGATGTTTTTGAGTAAACTACCGCATGTTGTTGTAAGATTAAAACTTAATTAAAGTCCTTGTTATATTTGAAAATGTATTTATTAAGTGGTAAGGTGGATTTGTCATGGTATTGTGATATATGTGTGTGTATATACCACACAGTTGAGTTTTCTTAACCATGTTCATTCGTATGCAGTGTATATATATATATATGTGTGTATATATATATATATACTGCTGTTCAACAGTTTGGTATCAGTAAGATTTTTAATGTGTTTTAATGACGTCTCTTCTGCTCATCATGGCTGCATTTATTTGATCAAAAAATACAGGAAAAACAGTAATATTGTGAAATATTATTGCCATTTAAAATACTGGTTTTCTATTTTAATATACATTAAAATGTAATTTATT